TTTTTAAATTAACCTATGCCCTACACCTTCACTTCAAATGAGCCTGATCTGTACTAAGAGCCTCATCAGCTGTAGGTAAGCTGACAAAATCAAATTTTGTAATTTATAATAATAATATAAAAATAACAAATGAATGTTGTTTTAAACTGAAGGGTACGTCCTAGTCAGAATAGTAACAGGACGTGGCGAGACCTGACTAACCTGTTGGTCTTCCTCTGAAGATGGAACAGTAAGAGCCTCACGAGGGAACGGAAGTGAAATTATAAAGTATAAAACACTGCGGAAAGAACTAACTGACTTTGAGCACCTGTCCCAGATGCCTAGGTATTTAATGGGCTATCCTTAACTCAAGAATATAAAGGAATTTAAGTTTATCCAAATTTGGGCTGGTTAATCCTCACAGCCATTCTGAGGACAAATTTCTAAACTCTTTTTCAGTAAGCCTGATGGCTAGATCCAGGCTCACGATTAATATTTTATTGCCCACCAACTAATTACTAACTGACCATGGGTCTCAATTTCAAAATGAGAAGAGCCACTTTAGTCTGTACAGACAGAATTCCAGGATGACCTCCCCCAAGATGCCCTATCCTGTGAATATGATATCTCTTCCCTAGCGATGTCACCATTTTATAGCAAAAGGGATTTTTCAGATGTGTTTCATCTTACTAATAAATTGATCTTTTAATTAATCCAAAGGAGATTATCTGGGTAGATTCAACTTCATCACATGAGCCTCTGGCCAAGAAATGAATTCTTACTGGCCTGGAAAAAACACAAACATTCTTTTGGGACCATGTGACAAAAATAAGTATGGCATCCTCTAAGAGCTGAGAATAGTTCTGGTAGATAGGCTGTGGCCTCAGTCCCACAACCTAAAGGAACTGAATTCCACCTCAGCCAAAGCAGCGTAGGAGAGGTCGCTGCGCTCCAGATGAGAACACAGCCTCAAAGACACCTTGTTTAGTTTTGTGGGGCCTTGAACAGAGAAATCAATTGCTCCACTCGAGACTTACAAGCTACAGAACTGTGAAATAATACATTGAGTTAAGGTACTAAACTTACCTGTGTGGTAATGCATTATGCAACATTAGAAAACAAATACAAATAATAAGCCTTGAGTGTCTTGTCTCCGTACTATGACTTTTAACTATCATTCAAAACTACTCAGGTGTCACCCTGACTATGCAGAAAACCTTCCTGTGTGTAGCCACAATACTCTCACCGTGGGAGTACTTATCTCTTTCAAACCCTGTGGTACAGGGGTTGCAACTACCTTTCAAAACAAATACAATACTCAGCATAGCACCTGGCAGTTAGCAGACACTGTTAAATAAATAAATGAGCTACAATTACAAAGTGCTTTCAAATACTTTATCTCTTTTGATTCTCCCAACCAACCTGAAAGGTAAGCAGGACAGGTGATATCATTTCCAATTTCCTGATGAGAAAATAAGAAGCTTAGAATGCTTACGCAGTTTGCCCAGGTTACGCACTGCAAGAACTAGGTTAAGCACACAAGGCTGGATTTCCCATTCACTTCTTCAGCGTTCTTCAGAACAGTGTTTCTTTGTTATTTTTGTTTTTGTTTGGTTTGGGGCTAGATCAGCAAGAAAAAACAAAAACCAGCAACAAACAAAAATCCATAGATACCTCACAGCTTTTTTTTGTTTGTTTTTTTCTAATCATTTTATTAGGGACTCATACAACTCTTATCACAATCCATACATACATCAATTGTGTAAAACGCATTTGTACATTCATTGCCCTCATCATTCTCAAAAAATAAAGAAGGGGGTGGGGGTAAATAAATTAATAATACTGCTCCCAATGCAGAAAATTTATTTCACAACCTTTAATTAGTTTTAAAAATTGTTTTAAACCAATAGTTTTAAAAATTGCTTTCACCTGGTGTTAACAAACTCAGGAAAACAAGTGATCTAAAACCGATGTTGGGGAGGGCATACGGTGCCTGGTAGGGCTTGATCAAGGGCAGTGTAAACAAGAGGACTTACTGAAACCCGCATGAAGGCCAAACATGACAGTGGGGCAAAAGGAAGTAAGAGGGAAAAACTTGGTGGCAAATGGTTATTTATACAGGTCTAAATACAGGCATGTACATATGTAAATATATTTATATATAATGATAGGGAAATAGGTCTATGTATATATATTTATATGTTAAGCATTAAGGGAGAAGACAGACATTGGGCCTCTACTCAAGTACTCCCTCAATGCAAGAACACTTTGTTCTAGTAACCTGGCATTCTGAGATGCTCAGTTTCCCAACACAATCCCTGAAGACAAAATGGGTGTACAATTGTGCAAATGTGGTGAAGAAAGCGGACAGTGCCCAGCTATCAAGATATAGCGCCTGGGGTCCTAAAGACTTGAAGATAAGCAAGCAGCCATCTAGCTGAGAAGCAACTAAGCCCACATGGAAAAAGAACACCAGCTTGTGTGACCATGAGGTGCCGATGGCATCAGGTATCAGGCATCAGGCATCAAAGACCCAGAAGAAAAAATGCTATCAATGTGAATGAGGGGGAGTGAGGAGTGAAGACCCAAAGGCCATCTGTAGATAACTGGACATCCCCTTACAGAAGGCTCACAAGGAAGAGACAAGCCAGTCAGGGTGCAGTATATCAACGAAGAAACATACAACTTTCTTGAGCTCTTTAATGCTTCCTCTCCCCCACTACCATGACCCCAATTCTACCTTACAAATCTGGCAAACCAGAGCAGGTACACGGGTACAGATAAGAGCTGGAAACACAAGGAATCCAGGGCAGAAAAACCCCTCAGAACCAATCAATGACAGTAGCCATACCAGGAGGGGAATGTGGGGGGAGAAAGGGAGAATCGATCACAAGGATCAATAACAGAAAAGTGGGTGAAGGGCGACATCGTTCAGTGTAAGAGATAAAAAAATCATTATAATTTCTAAATTATCAAGGGTTCATGAGGGAGGGAAGGTGGAGGCGGGAGGGGAAAAAATGAGGAGCCAATACCAAGGGCTCAAGTAGAAAGAAAATGTTTTGAAAATGATGATGACGACAAATGTACAAATGTGCTTGACACAATGGATGGATGGATTGTGATCAGAGCTGTAAGATCCCCCAATAAAATTATTTTTAAATTGCTTTCACCATACTGCATTGTGCTTATAAGAACAAATCTTTGATAAACAAAGCCAGTAGCTCCCAAATCTAGAGCACATCATATATACTTATTATATTTTAATTATATCAAAAAATAAGAATTAAGCATAAATCCTACCCTACAAAGTTGAACAACACAAACAAAAATACAAATTTGGGATATCCATTATGTTGAGTTCTACATTAAACTCAACACCAAGATTATTCCATTAGGATTCCACCTCTGAGAATTTCATGAAAGGAAGCATTCAAGACAGCTCAACTGTTAGGAAGGTATATATGAGGGGAGCTTCAAAAAAACTTGTAGAAAAATAGAATTAAAGGGTAAAGGTAAAAATTGTAAACTTTATTTCATAACATAAGCTCCATAAAGATCCACTTTTATAAGCAATGATATCAGTCATTTAGTACAGCCCTAAAGAACCAAGGGTCCTGGGAATTTAACCATTATCGATGATGTCCTTTTGTTTTTATGTTATTAAAGGAAGAAAAATAGGTGCCCTTTAAAGACTTAAGATTATGAGGGAGGGGGGAGCGGGTAGGGAGGGGAAAAATGAGGACCTGATGCCAGGGGCTTAAGTGGAGAGGAAATGTTTTGAGAATGATGAGGGCAATGAATGTACAAATGTGCTTTACACAATTGATGTATGTATGGATTGTGAT